CAACAATCCTCCTGCCTCAGCCTCCTGAGTGCTGGGATTACTGGCATGCGCCACCACGCCCAGCCTGGTAACTCAGTTCTCAATCAATTTAAAAGTACTGAAAAGCTGGGTGTGGTGGCACATGCCTGTAATCCCAGCACTCGAGAGACTGAGTGAGGCAAGAGGATCGCTGCAAGTTTGAGACCAGCCTGGGCTACAAAGTAAGCTCAAGACCAGCCTGAACTGCATAGTGGGACCCTGTCTCAAAAAGACAAAAAAAAGTATTGAAAGATTCTGATCACATAAACACCAGAAATCTCAAACACAACCTCTAATATTTGGAAATTAAGCAAAACACTTCAAAGGAACTTACAGGTCAAAGTAGAAATCACAAGTGAAATTAGAAAATATTTTAATGAAAGTTAAAAAAACAGGTCAAAATTTGTGACATGTGGCCAATGCAGTATAGAAAGGGAAATTTATAGCATCCAAAGGAATCAAATCAGTACCCTGTCTACCCTAAGAAACAAACAATAATAAATCAAATTCCAAATAAGAGGCAGGTAAGAAATAATAGAGATAAGAGCAGTAGTCAACCATATAGTTGGGTTAGGAAGATAGCTCAGTGGCACAGCACCTGGCTGGCAAGTGCAAGGTCTTGAGTTTGAGCTCTGGTACAAAAAAAAAAAAAAAAAAAACTTTATAGTGGAAAAAATATCAATAGATAAGAAACTACCAATAAAACCAAAATCTAGTCCTTTGAGATCAATAAAAAATTACAAACCTTGATGGAGACCAGTACAAAGCAGCTCTGAGCAGGACTTAAATTAACCAATTGGCTTTTCATGTTTACTTGTGAGTCTGTCCAAGGCTTAGGCTCCTTGTCTGGAGATGGGCAGTATACTCATAGTAAGAGAACCTCTGTGAGTCACTCATTCCTACTAAGGTCTGTAATAGTGGATGAAGCCGGAGAGCCTCAAAGGATAAGACAAGATCACAACCAAGGACACCAGGATCTGATCTCAACTAGATAAAGACTGTAGCCTCAGGCATCTCATTCCTGGGCAGATTAACTTGTGTGGAGAAGTCCTTGAGTAGTTCAGCCATTCTCCAGTACTCCCCTCCCTTCTTCTGATAACTAAACAAATACAGGCCACCCAGAGGAGGTCTTGGTCTTAGCCCTGAGAAAATCTCGAATTCTGTGAGAGGGCTTGATCCTCCTGGAGCACTGAAATCATTCCACTTGCCTCTTCCTTCAGGCGACTGCAACCTGATCAGCCCACAATAACTAAGGGATATTATTAACCCAGCAAAACCTCTAACTACATGGATTAGGAAAAAGGGATTAAAGTTTAAAATGACCAATATCAAGCATGATAGAGATGACCTCAACAGAGATCCAAGATGATTATAGTAACAGAATATCAACAATTTTATGCCAATAAATTCAACAACTTAAACGAAATGCACAAGTATCTTGAAAGACACAAACTATTATAGAATAGGAAAACTGAATAGCCCTAGATCTGGTAAAGAAATTTAATGCTTGATTTAAAAAAATTTCACAATGAAAAAATGCAGGCTGTGAAATAAACACACACACAAACATACATACACACACATGCACATGTACCTTCCTCTACCCCTGGTTCCTGGCACATAATTTCTAAAACTCTTATAGCTAGGAATACTAAAAAAAATTTTTGTTCTAATATTTGGTCTTTGATCCCAGTTCTTGACTCAGAGCTTTTAAGGCTTTTCCATTTCCTAAGTGACAGGAGCATCTTTTGTTCTAACAAGGTAAATTTTGATGGGCTCCTACACAGCCTTGGGATGGAGGATGACAGGTAGGGGAGTGAAGCATGTGATTAGAGGACTGCACTTTCCTATTCAATACTCTACTTACTGGCAGTAGGCAAGAAAAAAAAAAAAAAAAAAAAAGAGGGGCTGGGGATTTAGCTCAGTGGCAAAAGCGCCTGCCTGGCAAGTGCAAGGTCGTGAGTTCGGTTCCCGGTACCGGAGAAAAACCACAAAAAACAAAAACAAAAGAAAAAAAAAAGAAAGATATCCAGATTGGAAAGGAAGAAGTAAAACTGTCTTTAGTAACAGAAAACATGATTGTGCATGTTCAATATGAAAATGGTACATGAACAGACTAGCCAAAGTAATTCAATGGGGGAAAGAGTAGTCTTAAACATACGGTTTTGGAACAGCTGAACATCTGTATACAAAAAAGGGAGACTCAGCTTTTACACTTTACTATATTAAAAAATGGGTCACAGACTTAAATGCTAGAGTTAAACCTATAAAAATGTTAGAATAAAACAAGAAAAAACCTTTGACCTTGGACTGGGGAAAGATTTCTTAAGATAATATCAAAAGCACAATTCATAAAAGAAAAAAAAACTAAGTTATATTTTATCAATATTAAAAACTGCTCAGTGAAATACATGGTTAAAAATGTCAAGAAAGACAAAGTATTTGCGTATCATGAGTATGTGACAAAGGGCTTTTCTTTTTTTTTTTTTTTTTTGGTTTTTCTCCGGTACCAGGAACCGAACTCACGACCTTGCACTTGCCAGGCAGGCGCTTTGCCGCTGAGCTAAATCCCCAGCCCCGACAAAGGGCTTTTCTATCTGGAATATTTAAGGAACTCTTACAATTCAATAAGACAATCAATTAAAAAGCAGCAACAGATTCGAATAAACAGTTCCATGAAGATAAAAGAATGCCAAATAAGCAGATGGGAAGATACTTAATGTGGTCAATCATTAGTAAAATAAAACATTAAAACTGCAGTCAGCTATCACTATAAACCTACTAAAATGGCTAAAATCAAAATGCTGATGGCAAGGATGTATGCCAAATGAACTCTCACACATTGCTAGTGAGAAAGCGAAAGAGTACAATCACTTTGGAAAACATTGTGGCAGGTTTTTACAAAGTCAGATATGCAGTTCACCTAGGACCCAGCCATTCTGTCTGCTATGGTTTGAATCTGCAATGTTCCCCATAAGCTCACATGCTGAAGGTTTGATCTACAGTGCAGCAGCATTCAGAGGTCAGGCCTTAAAATGTAATTGGATCATGAGAGCTTTAACTTCATCAGTGGGTTAATCTACTGATAGATTTCTAATCTGATTTTTGGGAGGTGCTAGAAACTTAGGAAGTGGGAGAGGAAAGGAAGAGCAGAGGAAACTTCTGAGGATAATGGAAATGTGCTGTTGATTATTATGGTTACAAAAAATAGGCACTTGTCAAAATTCATGGAACTACACTAAAACATAATTTCTATTGTATGTGAACTTCAATGAACTTCAATAAAATTATGTTATGTTCATACAACTATATGCTATAAAGTCATTTTAAGAATGAGATGAAGAGGACGGGGGGGAGGGGTATAGCTCAACGTAGAGAGTACATACAAGGCCCTGGGTTTGATCTCTAGCATCAAATAATAATGATGACAATGATAATGACGACGATGACGATGACAGATGGAGACACATATGCCACTAATAAGATAATCTCTACCATACATTTTTGGGAGTAAAAAGCAAGGTACAGAACAATAAATGCAGCATGTTCCCAATTATGGTAATACTGGCTGTCTCTGGGGAAGGTGGCTGGAGTACTATTTTCTGTTATTTGAGATTTTCCCCGACATGCTTGTATTACTTTTAACTAGTAAAAGTAGGAAAAACATGTACAGGTCAACAAAAACTCACAGGTGTTAGTCCAGGGGACGGAGATGTGTAGGCTTGTGAAAACGTGTAGAAAAATATAGAACACTTTATCTAGGGGCACTCAATAAATAGCTCGAGGAAACAAAGTACTTGGAGTCAATTCAGAAAGCAGATCCCAGGCAGATCTCTATCTGAACAGCAGGTACTTGGCAGCATGGCCCCTGCTTTCTACAAGGAGCTAAACTAGGACTGTTCATGTTGGACAAGATGAGTGTGCAACCAAATATCCTCGACGTTCTTGGGACCGGCTGTTTCTCCACATTCCTTTGTAAGCACAATGTGTGCCCTAACCTCAGCCTTCTAAGGATGGGAGGCAAGTCCTTCCCCCACTGAGCACAGTCACCCCCAAGACTACTCTGGTTTCTGCATGCTATATCGCAGCATCTAGAGGGGCCTAAGTAGCCCTTTGGCCAGTCCCTTTGAATCAGAAACTCCCATCACTTTCCAAAAGAGTAAGTGAACCTGGCAGTGTCAAGACACTGCAAATAAGACAAGATGATCTCAGCTCTTGAGCCCTTTTTCCATGCCAAAGCTTTAGGAAAGAAGAAAGGCCGGTCAGTAAGCGAGGTCCATTGCTGGCATCTGGTAGAAGGAACTCTGTGGTTAAGCACAGATTCTTTCAGAAAGCCTGACATCTCTGATCATGAGCTCCAGAAGGCAAAGTGGACACAGGGAATGTGCTAAAACTCAGTCAGCCTCAGAAATTTTTCTGTTTCTGCTCTATTTGAATATTCTTCCCTGAAGCCAGCTAGTGGGTCCCAGCTTTATCTGGCTATTGATACTAGGACTAGCAGCATGGATAGCTTCTCCAGGTACCTGGTTTCCATGGGTGACTATGTAGGTTCTACTTCCTTCCTCCATCCTCCTACTTTTTTTTTTTTTTTGGTCTTTTTGAGACAGGGTCTCGCTATGCAGTTCAGGCTAGCCTTGAGCTCACTTTGTAGCCCAGGCTGGTCTCGAACTCAGAACGATCCTCCTGCCTCAGCCTCCCGAGTGCTGGGATTACAGGTGTGTGCCACCATGCCTGGACCCCTCCTCCTAAAAAACTGCACTGACATGTAAAACTCCAAGAAGTAGGATGGAGGGTAAGGTATGGCAAAGGCATAGAGCAGAGTTGGGTAGATTCGGAAATCTGTAGATTTCCGAATACAGGAGGGAAGTTACAGCAGAATCTTGTTTCCTCTGGAAAAAGTGAGGCACCATGAGCCACAAGGTTTCTGATTCTCAGGCCATGACCCAGGTTGTCTAAGCCGTGGAAGGATCAGGAGCACTTACCGGGGGAAGATGGCAGTCATCAGGGCTGAAGCGTAGCCGGGCTTGCAAGCTCCCTCTGAAAAGTTTGCGTACTTGGTGGCTAACTCAGCAGGCCTGTGGATAGAGAAGGAAAGTCACGGCTTGCCAAGAACTGAATAATCAATGAGTTATTAATTCATGGAGAGCTGCAGCAGCTAAAACCTTGGATAAAGTTCCATTCCCTACAATCAGCACTTTAGGTCCTTTTCCGTACCACTTTTTTTTTTTTTTTTGTCTTTTTGAGGCAGGGTCTTGCTATACAGTTCAGGCTGGCCTTAAGCTCACTTCATAGCCCAGGCTGGTCTCGAACTTGCAATGCTCCTCCTGCCTCAGCCTCCCCAGCCTCCCAAGTGCTGGGATTACAGGTGTGAGCCACCACACCCGGCATTACCACAGGTTTTATGATGATAAAAAATCAAAATCTCTAAGAGCCTAGACAGATCAATAGGCAAGCCTCTCAGTGGAATCTGTAAAAGGAAGGTACATAGATTCTCTGTAAGAAGCTTGATACAAAAGAAATCAGGACCTCCATCCAGCTCTAAGACTGAGTGAGTGGTGAAGCACTGTTCTGTATACAGCTGCTCAGGCTTTGATGCTACCAGAGGCACTGCCCCTTTCATCTTCTTGGTCTGTCCCTACACGTCATTTCTGCAGTCCAGCAGTATGAGCAAGCCATTGGGAACCATTCAGAGTGACCTGAATATAGTAGGCACATATAGTAATGTGTGTCATAGGAGGTATAACTCTGACTTTTAAATGTGAATGCCCCCTGGTCTCTACCTAGAATAACTCCTTGTTCTTCCCCTCCTGGTTTATGTCTATGGGTCTTTTAGAGTCCTACTGAGATGTCCACTTCACCGGGAGTAACTCCATGCCCCACAGCTCAGGCTCTGGCTCTCAGTGTTCTTGCTGTTCCTCCCCCGTCATCCATATCACAGGCACACTCCATCTGCACTGCCATTCTGTAGGCCAACTGTTGCTCTATGTTTCCCACACCATGCTGTAAATGCCTGAGATCAGTGGCTGATTTAAATCTCCCCCAGTAACTTGCACTGAGAGGGGCACACAGAAGACCCCTGTAACTTTCTGAAGAACAAAATGATCCTGACCATCTCCCTGCACTTCAAACTGCAGACCAGGCAATCACAGGAAGCCAGAGCCAGAGCCTATGTGTTCAAGGGCTGGTTTTGCTGCTATGCAACTACAGCCATCCACCCCCATTGTTGGTGCTTATGTGTTCACTGTGGAGCTGGGATCACCCCCTCCGCCACAGCTCTGCCCTGTGCAGTCCAGAGAAGACCAACACGTCTTCACTGGGTGGGCCTCCTGACCCCAGAGGCTTGAAGGCTGGGCCTGTTGGGCACCTGAGTGAACCTGGCTGGCTGCCAGTTCTGAGTCCCAACCTTGTCCACCCCCACCCTTGGGCCAGCTGCCAACTCTCTGGTGCCCAGCTGCTTCACTGAGCACAAGTGCCCTCAGCACTGTTCTCTGCAGGGATCCAAGAATGGGGTACAGGGGCGGGGAGGCTCTATACTGGACAGTGATGATGCCATTGCCTGTCAGATCTGATTCACCCCTGGGGGCCTAGTTCAGGGCCTGACACAAGTAACTGTTCATTGAATGTAGACAAGCTTATCCGTATGCAAGCCATTTCTTTTAGAAATCCACATTTTTAAGCTTTCCTTACCAATGAAATTTAAAGCCTAAAATGCAAGTATAAATGCTGAATGACGAGCCTAGACTTTATTTGGTAGGCAAAAGAAAGTCAAAGGTTCTAACAGAAGAAAAACACTATTTTTCTATGTAAATGACTGTATCTTGGAAATGAAATGTAGACTTTTGTGCAATTATTGAAATTACTGAAAGCTTTCGGTCCAGGCAGTAAATAAAACATTCTAGATTGGCTTTTGATGCTCCTCGCCACACCCTGTGAGTGGGTGCTATGTGCTATTAAAGCACACACGAGGCTCAGGATGAAGATCATGCAGCTGGCTAGGGGCAGATGCTGCATTTGCACTGTCTTCTCTCTAACACCTGTGTGGGAACTACTGACAGGATGCTACCATCACGGCATCAGAGAACAGCAGAGCACAGCACCAGTAAAGAAGGGGTCACCCAGCTGGGCAACAGGAAGAGAAGAGGGTCAAGAAGTGTATATATATATAAGTAATGTGGCATTTTGAGCTCCTTTATGCCAGGTCTCTCAACCCCTCATCATCTGCTTGTCTACGTTAAACTGTGAGTTGCTGTGTTCTTTCTCAGTTCCAGAAAGATTCGCGATGAAGTCAGAAGATGGATGGAGGCTTCCTTTATTAACCAGGTATGCTGCAGAACTTAACACAATAGACAAACCACTTTTTTCTCCACAGTCTATGTGTCCATCTCTGGAAGGTGGCTGGACAAGGGCTGTGGGATAGAGTGGGGCCCCTAGCTCAGCCTATCTTTGATAGAGAAGAGGGAGTACAGGCTGGCTACAGCACAGGAAGCCAGGACCTAGCAGGGCAGCAGGAGATTCAGCTCCTCCCATGGCAGTGTAAGACGGCCAAATACCAAGGATGCTGAGTACTAGATCAGCTCCTCATTTAGAAAGCAATTCTGGGTACAGTGGGCCACGTCAATTATTACCAAATTAAAATGCCTTAGAAATGGCCTCCTGGCTCTCCCAGTGAGAGAAGAATAGGGGGAGTGTTGGGGATTCTGAGTCATACAGCAGGCTGGGACCTCTGGGGCAGTCAGCGGTCAAAACCACTAAGATTAATGGTCACCAAGTCCCTCAGGCCAGAATAGTTAGTTTCTCTAAGGCACTCATATTCAAATGCCAGGAGGCCCCCACAGATGTCTGATCAAATCATTCAGCCCTTGTTCTTCTCCTCTGCAGCTGGCCTTTCACTGTGGGAGACTTAGCATTTCAAACAGTAAGAGCACCCATTGTGCTACAAACTGGCCATCAAGCCCCTGGGGTGAAGAGTAAACCACACCCTCAAGAGGAAATCCAGACAGTCAGACTGGAACCCAGAATCAACATGACTTCCGCTCCCCATCTGCCCCTCCCTCCCTCCCTCAGAAGAACTGAGCTTGAGGAATCGGAACCTCTCACGGAGGGCACTGACAAGCTGCATGAGCTTGGGCAAGTCATGGAAAATGTGATCCTCAGCTTCATTCCATGTGCAGTGAGAATTCCCATTCCATATGCAACGGGAGTCATGTTATTCCCAGGACCTGGTGATGATGTGGGGAGATCCAGCCATCCTCTGAAGCACCATGTGAATGCTGTATGAAAGAGAAGTTTCCAGAGAGTGGCAGCCAGATGAAGGAGCTCTGAGCATCTGGCTCAAGTCTGGATTCAATCACAAGGGAAGGTTGGGCAAGAAACAGTGTAATATCCCAGTGAAGTCCCAGTTGTCAAGGAAAGGGCATACTTTAAGGACACAGGGACCAACTACAGATGGTAATTTAGTGCCATTATGTTCAAGGCACTCACTAGAAGAAAAGAAGACTGCATGTGTAGCGCCTAGCATGTGCCTGACAGATCTGACCCTGTTACACTGGCTCTGCGGGCTCTGCCTGCACTGTCCTATGTCTTCCTCCACCCACAGCTGAGATGTGCTAACCCACTTCACCTGGACAGCACTGACTCTTTACTCTCCACAGCCCCCAGTGTAGGCACATATTTCTCTGTAGTTTCTGCCCAAATTCAGCCACCTGAGATAAACTCTGAATCACTGTGAGCCACTTAATAGTTTACCCCTAGCATCACTCAGGCAGCTGTTTGTCTACATACTGACTATCCCGAGCTTTGCGCGGGTAGGTGTCATTTTTAGCAGCTGATTCTTGTTGCACAAGATACACTTGTGGGCCGGGGATATAGCTCAGCAGCATAAACGCCTGCCTGGCAAGCGCAAGGTCCTGAGTTCGACTCCCGGTACCAAAAAAAAAAAAAAAAAAAAAAGATGTACTTGTCATTTTTACATTTCCTTTATAGCTTATAAAAATTAATGAAAAAATATGCACTTTTTGCCCATCCTATATTTAAATAATTGGACGATAAATGGTTTAAATATCTTCTCTCAGTTTAGAAGAGGAACTGCTTGCTCTGAGCAATGTGGAATTTGCAAAATTTTTCAGCCTTGGAGGCCTTATCTTTCTGCTCTTGCTACTGGCAATACCTCCACCACCCCAGGTCACTTTCCTGTTTGGTCTGGGTTTCTAGTGCAGACATTACTGCAGTTTCCCTCCAACTCTAGCCTTGTCACTTTCCTCACGTTGGCTGCCAGGACACTCTACAGGAAGCTCTCCCAGCATATCAGCCTGCTGTGCACAGACAAGTCTCACAGAGACTCTCACCAGGGGCCTGCTGTGACGGCTCCAACTCAGTTTTGTTTCCACGCTTCATTTCTTTAAAAATAAAAACATATCCTCTTTCTGGGTGGTATGAAAAGAATGAGGGAATTAACATCTCTGAGAGTGCGCCAGGGGCCTGGCAGTTGATCTAATGACCTAATCGAGCTTTACATAATCCTCCAAAGCAGTGCTGCCTTAGACCCAGGCTGTGTGGCTGCGAGAGTCCAAGTGTTGGAAGATGTGCTGTGCTACATTTAAATTGTTAAAATTTCACATGGTCAGGAAATTCATTTCTGTTGACATTTTGCCTGCACAGTCTGGGTAACACTTGCATTTGTGGCCATCATCAACAAAGCAGTACCGCCTGTGAGAGTGCATGGAAGCGAGTATGCACGGGCATCAGGAAGGACAACGCAGTAACCCGCGTAATCATGGCACCAGCTGAAACAAACAGCTCTAGAAAACTGAGGGGAAAAGATCTACACCATTTGGAACCTACAACAGGTCCCAAACAACCATGGCACTCTGAGAAATAACAGCACTGCTTCTGGTTTCTTGAGCTAGGATATGAAACTTTCCAGGAATGATGCATTTGACAATAAAAAACTGAAAGAGATGGTCCTGAAGCGTGGAGACAGCGATGGTGTCTAGATACTGCGAAGAACCTGTGTGCTGACTGGATAATAAACGAGTAGGTAAGTGTATCTCTTCTCTACCCGCTGCTCTAAATCCTC